GTGCAGGAGTAGATGACGGAGCTGGAAAATGCAGTGCCATCAAGTCGAAAGACTTTCCCGTTGGCTGTGGTTCCTGGGTTGCCACACTGCACAGCTGAAACAAGGTATTTAAGTGTGTATGAAGATAATGCAATTGGAAATCCTTTCAGAAACAGTTAATGGCTACCGAGGCCTTCCACATTATACAAAAGAGCATTGAAATCATTCAAAATAAGAGGCGAGCTCTCCTTTATAAGTTACTGAAATTAAAGATGAATTTATGTTGATTTTATTAGTTTAATGACTGGTATCCATTACTGGAAATAAATTATAATTACAGACGAATTTAGCCTGTTGATAAGAGCTTCAGTAAAAACTTTACAAAGTAATTGCTTGAATTTGTGTACCAGAAAAATTATAAGACACTGTTTAAAAAGCAAGTCATGTAAAATTGGAAGCTATGTAACAACAATATAATGCAATAGGGATTTATTTTATTTATAGTTCCAGGGGCAAACTTAAATGTGCAATTTAAATATAATAGGCATATACATATTTGTATATAAATACATAAATTGATTTGCTTATAAAAGGTTATAATCTCTGTTTGTGGGCCAAAGTAATGAAATACAAAAATGAGGGAACTAAATTCTATTAAGTCTTCATTAAGTCTTAATAATGTCACAAACTGGAACCCCAATACAAATGTTTTAATGATTAACTATTATATAATATACACATAACTATTGTCACCAATGCAGTGCAAATATACTTTTAAAGTATCTTAGAAACAATCAGACGGCAAAAATAGTAAATTTTATTGTAATGTCATAAGTCTAGTACCTTACAAAATTTAAGTCTATCTTCATAAACATGAAGTATAATTACAAATTATGAAAGTGTCACTTATATGCCTGTTGTATCATCAATATTTTATTTTCATTGTCTTTTCTAGCAGAGTTAGATATGAATGTTTATGCATCACAGTTTACATATATGTGTGTGTGTATGTATAAAAATCAAACTTTAGATAATAAATTCAGAAAAACAGCACATAGCTAACATTTTTACTTGTTGTGAAGGGTAATCAACGTCTTTCAAATTCCTATTCGGATCATATTTATTTGTCAAGTATGAAAGTACACAGACCCGATGCAGTGGAAATACTGGATTAAAATATATATTTTGCTGCAAAATATCACGTAGTTTATGTTTTGAAAAAGGAAATCAGGTCCAGTTATTCTGTACAACAGAAGCAAGAATCTTTTTGTTTGTTTGTTTGTTTTTCCAGTACCAGGGATTGAACTCAGGACCTTGAACTTGCCAGGCAAGTACTTATTCTACTGAGCTATCTCTCCAGCCCTACAAGCAAAAATCTTGAGAGCCTTATTGGTTTACAGACCTAACCAAATCTTGTAATTCTTGGACTCACCTCTCATCTTCCCCACCTGATACAAACATTTCCCTCAAGAACAATTTGATGTGAACTAAACTCAAGTAAAATGAACTTAAAATAAGTCAGGTAGGTGCATCATCTAAAGAAAGTGTTATGGACACAAAGCAGGGGCAGTAACTGCTTTGCTCTGTAATACATCTGGGGAGAGAGTGTTTTGCTGTTGCCTGTGAAAAACGTGTCCTCAGATTAGCTACAATCTCATTAAGCGATCTTTCCTCATGAGACTGCTTTTCCAGTAGCCCATTGGCCTCATCTAATAAAAAATGATAGTTAATAACACTGAGCACTTACTATATGACAGTGACAGCTTTCTCAGTATTATTTAATCCTCCCTGCAGTGCTGAGATGGGATTAATACCAACACCATGGCTTGGCAGGGAATGCAAGCACAGAGAGATTAAAGAACTTGGCCAGTGACACTCAGCTAGCTAATGGCAAATAACTTGTCTGACGTAAATTCTCAAGGATGATTCTGATTGTACAAAATGAAAACAAAAAGGATCATATTCATTAGGTGTATGTGATATATTTAAGTATAATGCATACATAAGAATTGAATATCTGTTATGTAAGATGCTTTATGTGTATGATATTTTATATATTTGCCTTTTTTAAAGACAATTCCTGTTTCAAGGTCACTGTATCATTCATATTGAAGTACCACTTAGCCATTTCTAATAAGTCCAAAAGTAGATGAAATTATATGAAAGAAATTACAAATTACTTGTGAGTGGTTCAATAAAAATAACACCTGAGGGGCCAGGGAGATGGCTTAGTGGAATAAGTGCTTTTGGGGCGAGAGGAAGGGCCTGAGTTCAATCCCCGGTTCCACCAAAAAGCAAAAACAAAAACAAAAAAATAAAACACCTGATCAAATAATTATATAGGTACATGTATATATAAGAATATTTGTATCAATATTTATATTAGACATGGTACTAAGCAGTTCCCCCAAACTGAAATGCTACCATTTTAAATGTGGAACCACCCTTATTTACTGCTGTTTGGAAATCCTGCTGTGTTAACACCACAATCAGGGCATTTTCTGTCATAAAACTCAGAAACTGGTAGGCTTTCTATGTGGTATATACTGGTAATTAACCTACCTACGTTTTTTATTGATAACCATTAAATTTAGCTGAGTATTGTTTTGTTTTCCTGTCCTTTTGATTTTGATATTTATTAAATACACAATTCTCTTCATCCATAACATTTTTAAGATAAATAACTAAAAGTGGAATTTCTGATTTAATTATTAAAAAGTATTTTTAAAGTATTTAAAGTATTTAGATTTGGATTCATGAAAATACTATATAATAAAATCCACTTGAATCAATAATGTAATTTTTGCTTTAATATCTTCTCTATCATATGATTTATTATTATTTTATAGAACTTGTTAATATGTCAAAGAGTTACTCTGGCATGGGTTCATGGTCTCACTATGGGGTTCAGGCTGGCCTTGAACTCATGACATCCTCCTGTCTCAGCTTCCCATAGGCATCATAAGTGGCATGTGCCACCATAATCAGGCTTAAAACATTCCTTTATATCTGCTTCACCCTATTTGTTAAGTTAAGAAATTTAAGTAAATAATTTAATGCTTTTATTTTGAATGTGTTTTATGGTTTACATTCTGCAAAAATTAACATTTTGTTGTAAATTAAGACAACAAACTACAAGTCATTTGGAATAAAGGGATGATATTTTATCAACTTCATGTTTTTATTCTGTGTGAGCATTTCCTTTTATAATTATTCTTATATGAATAACATTTTCCAAAGTTCCTGTAAACTATAATTTTAATCTTATTTTTAACTAAAAGTTACGTATAATGCATACTTTCTCATATTGCTTCAGAAACTATAGCTTAAAGTATTACTGATGATGCACTATTAAACTGTGCAAATATACCACTGTTTATATAATGTTTTCCTAGGGCAAGGTTGTTCTAAATTGTTGGTAGTTACAAATAATTATACATGCAATTTCATCTTCATGTTTCCTATTAAATTACTTGCTGTAAAAAAGTAATCTTTCACAAATGGTGAAATAAATTAAACATTAGATTTATTTTATGGGGTTTATGTAGTTTTGTCAATTTTTTTTTTTGTATTTTAAGGAAGGGTCTATGGGGTTTTCAGGGTCTCACTACTAGATCACACTTATAGTGATCCTCTTGTTTTCAGCCTCCCAAGAGCTGGGATTACAGGTATGTGCCACCAAGTCCAGTCTCAATTGCCCTCTCAGCATGCCCTGGGGGTGGGGCCAGTATGGCAGGCCCAGGTATCGAACCCCTGGCCTCTGCACCTGCTTGCAGGTGCTTTAATCCACCGAGCTATTTGGTCAGCCTTTGTAGTGCTGTCAAATTACTCTTATAATACAAATAATTTTGAAATATTCTAAAATTCTACTTTTCATGCACACACACCACAATTTCATGCTACCATTTTAAGAATAGGTGAAAAATGATGTCTGGATATTAAATCAGCATTTTGTGCATAGCAGTGCTCTTGAATTTATTCCATACATTTCTACTTTTTGATTTTTTATATCTTCTATTTACACCTTTTGCTCATTTATCTACTAAAACCTCTTCATCTAAGTGATTTTCATGAGCTCCATTTATGAGAAAAATATTCATTGTATTTGATACAACTAATATTTGACCTATTATCCATAATGCACATGCCAATAAGACAGTGTCACCAGCAGTCTTCATTTCATCTCCAAAACAGTTGTGGCTCAGCCAATCAAGGTGCCAACATATATGTCGCCCATGAATAATGTTGAGTGCCTAATGGTGCCTATAAAATCCTTACAAAGACTTTGCCTTTGTTAAACAGTTTTGAGAAATAAAGAAAGCATCTAATCTGCTTTATGCTATTTTGTTCTGTTTTCCAACTCTTCTTCCTACATCCCTAGGTACAGCTCTCAACACTATTAGAATCCATCCAGTCAAAAGTGATAACTATCTTTCTTACAATATGGTCCGAATTAAAATATTTTCAATATAGTCAATCAAAATACTCACAAATATTTTATTTAGAATTGTTTTCTATTTACAAACTGATAGAATTAGTATTACCTAAAATTTGCTTTATGAATAGTTTTGCAAGTTCATTCTCTGAAAGGAAGCAATTGCAAAAATACAATTTAAAGCACAAGAATAGTTTTCAACAATATATCATCTGTAGCAAAACTCTGGAAGATTTAATCGTGTTAATTCTAAATCAATCAGAACAAGCAGGCACTTTCTTCAGAAAAAGTAAATTTGATGCATTCTAGGAACTACCAATTGTACGCTACACAGAAAAAATTTTCCTTTATCTTCTATTCATATCAGCTTGGAAGCTAAAATATGGCCAGGAAGAACAATTTATTTTTCTCTACTGTCTATAATAAATATAATCCTTTTAAGCTTTTTAAATGTTTTACTTTGTAACTCTAAATGTATGTTATGCAGCAAGCAGCTTTTGTATATAGATAACAATGAAAATTTTAAATATAATTATTACATGTTGGTTCTACTAAAGAAAGGGGCTTCCAAAATTAACATACTATTGTTTTTGTACATGGTTGACAGCAGGAAAGGACCAAAGGTATCATTATCCTAGAAGCATGCAAAATCCAGAATGCCCGTACAATTCCAGGACTCTCAGTATATTTAGCTTCGGCATGAGATTACCTCTGCACTCTGGCTGCCTTCCAGTCCAACTGCCGTTGGCTAAACACGTTCTTTCTTCAGAGCCATGAATGATATAACCCGTATCACAAGCAAAACGTACGGTACTTTTTGTTCTGAAATCACTCTCCTGTCGAGATCCATGACCTGGAGTACCTGGATCCCCACACGTACCGGTAGCATCACCTGCGGTGCAGTAAACGTATAGTAAATTCATAATTTAAGCCGTAATCCAGGAAGCATTTACTTTTGTGCATGCTATGTTCTTTTCACATGAGAACTTGACTGAGAAAAATAATAATGCAAAGATTCCAATAATTAAATACCTACTAGAAAAGGAAATAGGTGAAGAATGTGATATTGTTTTCCTTTCAATGATATTTGGAGGTATTAAATAGGTATGGGCATTTCATTAGAATTTGTAGAGTCTAAGTAGTAACAACATAGGAAATATACACCTGAAGACCCACATACTCAAAATAAAAGTAAAATTGAATCCTGGATTCTACAATTTACATTTTTCCTTCTCTGAATTTCCTGACTAATGACAATTATTTCTCGGTTGTTCCCGTAGAACTGTAGCGTGCCAACACACATAAATATCGTAACTCTTCATACAGCCCATCGTTTCTCCCCTGACTTCCTCTACCCATGACTACAAGCCAACAATGAATGAGACACATATTTTCAGGTATGAGAACTTAAAAATAAATTATAAACAACCCAAATTTAGAACCTGTGGCTTAATTTCTAGTAAGGATTTTGTTCAGTTTCTTATTTCATTGTTAAAAATCTCACTTCCTAAAGAATTCTCATCAAAGCTGCCTTAGTATTAGTAGTTATCGGGTAGGGTGGGAGAGGAGGATGGGGAAGGTAGAGTAGTTGAATGCATAAAAATCCAATTTGCTGTCTTTGTAGACTACTTTTGCAAATGCTCTTTGTTGTTTGGTGACCTCCATCACCAAATTTTAAGGCAAATATTTCACTGTTAAACAGTTTTACTCATTTTTAATTTCAATTCAGCAGCAGGTTCTAAATGCAAAGGTGTTTGTATGTTTCTGAGGATGTACTTGTGTGTTTATGTATAATCAGTTCTCTGAGGTTAATTTTTCTGAATTACTCAAAGACTGTCAGTCTCATGAAAATAATTTGCATAGTCACATTTTTAAATAATAGCTTTTAAAATTTGTTGATTGAGTGTAAGCTGCCTGTTACTTCTCAGAGATCAACCAAAAATTACAAAAACATTTGGTACCAGATTAATGATTCCAAAAATCATCCCTTCAGAAGGAAAATAATGTAAAACAACTGCTAATAAGTTGTCAGTACTATCTCCACAGAAGTAAAACAATTTAAAATTGGAAATGTGTAAATAAAATATAACAGGTGGAAAAATAAGCAAAATTAAAAGATAAAAATAAATTAAATAGTATCCACTAGGGATGACTCATTAGCTCTAAATTTTCCATTTTATTTTTGAAACGAAATAAAAACTTAATAATTTTAAAAAGATTTATGAAATACACTGCACAGATTCTTGATCAAAATACATTGAATATTAATTTATTCAAAGTTAAGTCCTGGGGTTGTAAAAGAAACTCCAAAATTTTATGTTGCTTTTTAGTAATGCAAAAAGTTAAGACAGATAAATATCCTTTATAAACCTTGTTAGGTTGTTTAATTCAAATAATTTATTTATAATTATACTGTTTAATAATCAATTGCATAGAAAGTTCAACAAAAAATACTCTGATAGAAAATCCTTGCCTTCTGGAGATAATTGCATTTTTTATCTACTAAAATGTAATAGCTTGCTATTTGTGTCTCAATAAAATTATGGAATAAAATAAAATATAATAGCTACTTAACTGGAAGCAGTTTCATCATTTTTATTTAAAAAAATGCACTTCACACAGGGTAGCACCATAAAGCTCAGTAGTTCCTTACATTAGATACTACACAGTTCAAAACATTCACCTGTAATAGTTCATCTAGAGATGAGTGTTAATTAGCGCTAGATTTGCATCTCTTAGAAATATAACTAATAAGAGTAATATTTCAGCTTTTCTTACCAAATTTTTATAAAGAAACCCATTACACCTAAGATGTTTGATATTCACACATAGTGAGGTTAAGCTTAACAGCCTAGATTGTATGATAATAACAATAAGCTTCTCTTCTGGAGGGTTAACAACCTAAGTTTGCAGACTAAAATTAGAGAAAAAGCAGGGCCACAAGGAAAGCCAGCATTTTGGCCCTAGCCTTCTAAAGTCAATAAAGACTCAGGACATATGAGAACTTGTACTGTAACGTCATGTAACTCGGTAGTGTCCCAAATTTTCTGATCAAGGAGACTATGGGGCCAAAGAGGAAAGTGATCGATGATGTAGAGTGTGCCTAAGGAGAGTCACATGGAGAGAAAACATTCTCTCAGGCTTTCACAGAGCAAATTGGCCAAACAATGGCCGTGACTCATCCACACGGCTGACACTGACAAAGGATCTACAATCTGAGGTACACGATCTCAGGATAAATCCTGAGGGGATTTCACTGACCTTATCAGATCCAAAAGATACAACTCTTGTTGTATAGGTCTTGCTTTATCTTGGTCTTAACCATCCACCAGAAAAGTATAAAAATAAAGTATAAGAAGTAAAACCATGCTGTTATGTTGA